ATACTCATCACTTGTTGTCCGTCGTCCGTTGTCGCCCGTCGTTGTTCGTCGTCCGTCGTCGGTCGTCGTCCGTCGTCGTCCGTCGTCCGTCGTCGTTAACTTTTTACATTTTGAACTTCTTTCACTGAATGGAATGGAACCAAACATGGCAATAATGTTCCTCATGAGGTGCTGACCAAGTGTTGTTACTTTGTAGCCGATCTATCATCCAAGATGGCCGCCAGCGGGGGACTAAGTTTAACATAGGACTCTATGGGAAATACATACAAATGTCTTTAGAGAACCACTGAAGGTATAAAACCACTAATGTTTTGAGAATCACTGAATGAAATGAAATCCAAACATAACATGGATGTTCCTTATGAGGTGCTGACCAAGTGTTGTTACTTTGTAGTCGATCTATCATCCAAGATGGCCGCCAGCGGGGGACTAAGTTTAACATAGGACTCTATGGGAAATGCATACAAATGTCTATAGAGAACCACTGAAGGTATAAAACCACTAATTCATGGCCCCATTGCTTTCTATGTTAAATTCTGCAATTTCAAGCAAAAATGGCTACTTTGTCTTAAGTTCAAATAAAGTGGCAGTTATTTCATGTCAAAACTGTACCTTATGCTGACTTGTGCTGAAAAAATAAACATACCTTTAATTGCATATTAGAGCGTACTGGTTCCCGGAAGTTTGATAGTACAAAAACAGGAACTTCTGATCTGAACAACAGGCCAAATGAGCCCTCCTATTAAAATTTCATATACTTCTTTATTTTTCAAATAAAACTTTCAACAAGGGTTCTACAGTGATTCCAAGTCCCCAATCTTTCATTTGATACTAAAACTACCCAAATATTCCCACTATTGACAAAGATACAGCTATGCGTAGGAACTATTTTGTTTAAAATATGTACTACTTTCTTGTATGTTCTTTCCGACCGGGCCTGAATTAGTGGTTCTATACCTATAACATCACCAAACTTGTTATATTGACTTCTGCTTGACTTTTATTTCCTTCTATGATCTTTTCTAGCAAAGAATAGCACATAAAGCTTTTGTCAAAACACTATATCACTGAATTCAAGCTCAAATTGGACTGGTAGTAACATATGCGGTAAACAAAGAAAACTACATATGGATACTAATAGTGACAGATATGACACTTTTTCAATTTTTACCAGTTCTGATATGTTAATATCTACTCAAATAACAGTGTTCTTACCTATATGTCTTTTTTTTTATCAGAAATTCTTCTTTGAATATAAATACAGTGGTCCAAACATAAAATATAATTGATAATTTTGTCCCTCCTTTTTTCTACATGTTGGAAAAGGAGAGTGATTTGGTAAAAAAAACATACTTTTATGTGTAAACATGGATCAACAAGAGCAATTAATGTATCTCCAAGTTAGACAACTTGCTAAAATGGTTATAAAATGCATTTCAAGTGAGATTTTGGAATTCCTATATAAGTATACACCAATTTTCCTTGAAATAAATAATTCACAAGGAAACACAATAAAACATGAACACATACTAGATAATTTGACCAAAAACAATATTTATACTATAAACTAGTCATAATATACAAGTTTCATTGGTTTCAGTGTTAGATAATCCAAATATTTAAATTTCAGGTAAAATCTTAACTGTGTGCATGCTAAATGAAAAAAAAAAAGGCTAAAATGACTTATTGTAGCAATTTGAGGGCTTTAATTAGACACTAACATAATTGTTACATAAAAAAATAATGTAACATGATTTCTGACTACAAATGTGACCAATTTTCATTGTATAGGGTATGATTTCTAAAAATAGAATTTCACATGCCTGTAAGTAATAGGTATACAACCACAGCTTTCTATGTTAAATTCTGCAATTTCAAGCATTAATGGCTACTTTGTCTTAAGTTCAAATAAAGTGGCAGTTATTTCATGTCAAAACTGTACCTTATGCTGACTTGTGCTGAAAAAATCAACATACCTTTAATTGCATATTAGAGCGTACTGGTTCCCGGAAGTTGGATAGTACAAAAACAGGAACTTCTGATGTGAACAACAGGCCAAAATGAGCCCTCCTATTAAAATTTCATATACTTCTTTAATATTCAAATAAAACTTTCAACAAGGGTTCTACAGTGATTCCATCTCCCCAAGCTTTCATTTAATACTAAAACCACCTAAATATTCCCACTATTGACAAAGATACAGCTATGCGTAGAAGATATTTTGTTTAAAATAAGTACTACTTTCTTGTATGTTCTTTCCGACCGGGCCTGAATTAGTGGTTCTATACCTGAATGAAATGAAACCAAACATATCATGAATGTTCCTTATGAGGTGTTGACCAAGTGTTATTACTTTGTAGCCGATCCATCATCAAGGATGGCCGCCAGTGGGGGACTTAGTTTAACATAGGACCCTATGGGAAAAACATATAAATGTCTTCTTTTAGAGAACCACTGAATGGAATGTAACCAAACATAGCATGAATGTTTCTTATGAGATGATGACCAATTAGTGTTACTTTGTAGCCGATCCATCAGCCGATATGGCCACCAGATGGGGACTTAGTTTAACATAGGACCCTATAGGAAATGCAAACAAATGTCCACCCATAGAGAACCACTGAATGAAATGAAACCAAACATAGCATGAATGTTCCTTATGAGGTGCTGACCAAGTGTTGTTACTTGGTAGCCGATCCATCATCCAAGATAACCGCCAGTGGGGGACTTAGTTTAACATAAGACCCTATGGAAAATGCATACACATGTCTTCTTATAGAGAACCACTGAATGAATGGAATGCAATATTAAACCAAATTTGGTCTCAATCATTATTTAAGTATCTGTTATGATTTTTTTTTATATATCATTAAAAAAACCCAAGTAGAGTCAGGTGAGCGACACAGGCTCTTGAGAGTATCGAGGTATGTTGTGGCTTTACAAGGGTGAAGGTTTGGTACCAATAAAACGTTTAAACCCGCTGCAATTGTTTGCACCTGTCCTTAGTCAGAAATCTGATGTTCAGTTGTTGATGTGGTTCATAAGTGTTTCTCGTTTTTTATATAGATTAAAACATTGATTTTACCGTTTGAAGTAAATTTTGGGGCCCTTTATAGCTTGCTGTTTGGAGTGAGCCAAGGCTCCGTGTTAAAGACCATACTTTGACCTATAATGGTTTACTTTTATAAATTGTGACTTGGATGGAGAGTTGTCTTATTGGCACTCATACCACATCTTCTTATATCTAACTAAAATCTTACAACTGCTAGACATATATTATAGTGGTTATCAGAGATGTACTGTAATTTTGTTAATGTTTTTTGTAGATGTAATGTCTGATTCAATATAAAATATTTATCCATATAATTCAATGTATTTGATATGATATAAACAAATATGGACAATGATCATGATTCCAAATAATGCTAAACACACCAAAAAGAGTTAACTCGATTCCATTTGCTATGTTATTATTCTAAATCTAGCATAAAAAGGGCATTGGGCAAACTGTTGGAATATACAAGTACCCGGCCACGTCCACTCTGCGTTTTTGTTAGAGGTATTACTATTTGTATCCCAGGTTAGGGGGAGGGTTGGGATCCCGCTAACATGTTTAACCCCGCCACATTATGTATGTATGTGCCTGTCCCAAGTCAAGAGCCTGTAATTCAGTGGTTGTCGTTTGTTGATGTGTTACATATTTGTTTTTCCTTCATTTTTTGTACATAAATTAGGCCGTTAGTTTTCTCGTTTGAATTGTTTCACATTTGTCGTTTCGGTGCCTTTTAAACCTGACTATGCGGTATTGGCTTAGCTCATTGTTGAAGGCCGTACGGTGACCTATAGTTGTTAATTATGTGTCATTTGGTCTCTTGTGGATAGTTGTCTTATTGGCAATCATACCACATCTTCTTCTTTATATTAGGTGGTTTCATGATAATTAACACTTGTTAATGGAAACTTGGTTTGAAAGAAGAAAAATCGTTGGGTTTTTATTCGTAGTAATTATATAAAATAGAAATGAAAAACAGTAAACGGTTCTGTTCTGCCAGAAAACAATCGGAATATGCAGACAGTGTTTAACCGGACTTGCATTCCCATTACAAATGTGGTATGGAAAAAAAAAAAAAACACACACACACACACACACAAAATAACAACCATACAAACGACAGAGAAAGCACAAAAAGTCCAAGATGCCTACCATTAAGTAGACTAAGCAAGTTCTTGTAATCGGTTTAAAAATGGATAGCTGTTGCAGTTACAAAATTATCAGGTAGATGTTTAGTTATTTGTTCTCTTTTGATATATTCTACTTCTTTTGTCTGTAATTTCTGAACTTAAATGTCGTAGTTTTATTAAAATAAGAATACTCTTTTCATGCAGAATACAAATGTACTTGTGCTCCCTTATTCAGAAAAGTAAGAATATGGAATGATAAATAATGAGAAAAATATTAACCAAAAGATAAAGATAAAACAATGATGGCAAATAACTACAGCGAATTACTTTAAAACTGACTATCTGTTTGTTGTTTGTGTTGCCCTGGATTGTGTCCTGTGATTAAGTAAACTGAATTAGTGAGAATGAATGTGTGTGACAAATTGTGACATATGTCTATTTAACATTTTGTTATTGATTTGTGGTCATTATCAATAATTATGACGGATGGGTTTTTTACGACTTAGTAACATGTTACCACCATGACAACTAAGGTAAGTCGTCTTCATGACTTATTTGTTATCACGACCTAATAACTCATTGTAATCTCTACGTAACTAGTAGTCACGAGTAGGTTAATTCGTTTTAACTACAGCCTGACACTAGCCGGGGTTCAAAGCATCGCTTGTAGCCCACGAAGATTAATTTGATTCTTGTTGACGTATATTCCAAATCTTATTTAATTTAAAAAAAAACGAATTTACATTAATTTCTAGAATATGAATACGAACGCAAGTATCATGACCTCAATTTTAATGCCGTGTAAAAAAATAAATATATTAATATTTTAATATTTATTTCTTTCCGTTGCAAATGAATCGAAATTCGAAATAGTTACCGGATTCACTTCGCTCTGTTCATTATTTAGTTGTTGCCTCACGTCTGCATTGTATATATGCGGAACGTCCATTGGAACACCAATTATATCGATGCTAACAATATGGCCATTATAATATTACTTTTTCCTTGAAAAATTTAAGGCGTCCTCATAGGTCAGACACGCGGAAATATACTTTGAATCCCTTTTCATCTTATAATGGCTACCCCATGCAACATGATAAGCAGCTGTTACCGTCGACCGCTCCCTAAGATAATAGTCTTTAGCTGATAATCCATACTCAGGATTATCATCTTGTGCAAGACGTCTGTACACTTTTCCATTATGAAATACAAAATGTGACGCCATTGCTGTATAATGTTGAATGACACTGCACGCACTATCAAATATTTGGAATATAACTTGATATACACTTTTGCATTTCTTTACTAGAAATTTCTCCTGCAAGCAAATGTTTTTCTCATTTAGATATTAACCATTCTGAAGTTAACAATACTATGAAAACATAATTCATGTAATAACAAGTTTTATTATAATCTAATAAAGCAAAAATCCGATTGGTGTTTCTTTGGTTTCAGATCATGATCGACCACGTCTTTATTTGAACCATACATATGTTTGATGCATAAATCGGGAAAGAATGGACACATTATGTATAAAATTCTTTAGATAATCTTTTAGACATTTGGTTTCCGGATATTAACTTGAATATAAGTGTTTAGATCTCTATGAAATTGTCCCATAAGGACGTATACCATTAATTCATGGCCCCATTGCTTTCTATGTTAAATTCCCTCCATATCAAGCAGGCACAACTCTTTTGTTCAAATAAAGTACCTCATTACATGTCAAAGCAACACTCTATGGTCTCTTGTACTGAAAAAATCAACATACCTTTAATGGCAAATAAGAAAGAACTGGTTCCCGGAACTTCGGATGTACCAAAAACAGGTTCTTCAGATCTGACAAACAGACAAAATGTACCCTCTTTGTAAAATTTGGTGCAGTTTTTTTAATATTCAAAATTATAATTGCAGTTATCACCAGTCCTTCAGCTTTCATTTGATACCAAAAATACCTAAATATTCTACATATTTTGAAAGTTACACTCATGCGTAGGAACTATGTTGTGTTAAATATGTACTACTTTCTGGTATGTGCTTTCTGACTGGGCCCGAATTAGTGGTGTTACACCATAAGGTTCCATAACTCAAAAGGAAGTTTTGAATTAAGTTTCGGAGTTTTGACCTAAACGGTTAAGTATTGTAAAAGGGCTAAAAAGATGACTTTCTGGTTTCTGAACAATGGCTTGAGTATTAGTCTATCGATCTCTATGAAATTAAACCAAACGAAGGTTGGTATTGGTCTTGGGGTTATCGTTCTAATTTGTTTAGTAATTAGTGGGACAAAACTTTGCCAATACTTTGTATACATTACTTATTTGTCGATCCATTTCAAAGAGGTCTAATTCAAAGTCTTGGACTCTTAGGGTTATTTATCATGCTGATGCTGTAACTGTGTTTAAGATTATGGATTTTAAATAGGTTTACATTGAGGTCCAAAAATTAAGTTTTAAACATTGTTTGATTTTAAATAAAATTGAATTATTTCGGTTCTTAATATGCCAAAGCGGACCGTGTATTTAGATTTGAATTTTGGGATCCGTTTTCAAATTAGAACATTTAACATGTTTAAAGATCCATTAATTTTTGGCAAATAAAGAAAAACACACTTACTGTTTCAGTGGCACACAATCAAATCACGAACTTCGTAATAGGATAGATAAGAGCTTTGTTTACGGAGTGCATGTTCTTAAATTATAACATTTTGAAATTAATACAATAAAACCTATATGAATCAGTTGTTTTCATTTTGTGTGTTATAATTTATGGTTTTCTTGTTACGGCGTTAATGACCCACAACTTCTTGACTTTGGTAACGTATATCATGTAAATATATTTCAATATAGATATTACGGGCTGGAAGGTATTTTAAGGATGTTCGCTACTCTGTTTCAAAATAACAAGCTTTTTAAAAGACTGTTATAAATTGATAGTATATAAATAAAGAAACTAAAAAAGCAGAAAAAAATGAAGGGTCCGTGTGCTTGTTTCCGAGATATAAGCCAATGAAAATTTGGCGGGAAATACTTCTCTCTAGATTTTTCATACATTTAACATTGACACCTTTTTTCTTTCAAAAACGATGAAAAAATAACAAGGATTTTATAAGATTTTCAAAGATGGCATTTTAAACTATATGTAATCAAATTACGGAAAGAAAAGTAGGGGTTAGTGGGCAAATTTTTTAATGGCTCTACATGGATAAAACCAGAGGATTCCGAATATCTGGCAAAAATTCAAAAACAAGAGGAGCGAACATCCTTAAACCAAAAAGCAATAAAAATAATGGATAACATCGAAATATCTATGTAACCCAAAAGGTGACGTTCGTATTTTGTACTGTGACAAGTGATTAACGAAAAACAATATGTCTACTAATGATAAAATCAGACAAGTATGAAGTCAAGAGAATGATATCATATTGTCATTTTGTGTAATGGATAATATTTGCATTTACTAATCGAACAATTGAGTCGCTTTGGTCGTTACAAATATGTTAAATATATCATAGTTCTTATGATAATAACGAGTACATTTATTAAAGCATATTTTTTCAAACTGAACTTTTTGTGTGTCATTTTTTTATCATATTTCATTGATATATGTGAAGTGAGCGATAGGTTCGTTATTCGTTATTCGATATTCAAAATTATAATTGGTTCGATAATCAAATATTCTTAGCTGAATATAATAGAAATTTAAACATTCGGTAACATAAAAAGCATGATAGTTATATTTAAAAGAAGTAAAGAAGAGAAATAGAAAAATCTTTTTTGGACCAATTCAAGTAATCGTAAATTATAGTTGCGCTCAAATATAATCTTTATGTAAATCGAATATTTTCTTTATAAGATATAGATTTTTATCAATGACATACTGTGGATTCATTTATTTTCGTGGATACCAATTTTCGTGGATTGAGGAAAACTTATATTTTCGTGGATATTTAATTTCGCTGTTTTGGCAAAGTCTGCATACATTCCTTTAGAAAATTTGTAATTCGTTGAACATTTAAATTCGTGGTTGCCCTGTACCCACGAAATCCACGAAAATTGGTATCCTACGAATATTAATGAAACCACAGTACAATCGTATAATCAAAGATGTACATTTAACAGATGATATTTCAAGGAACAAAAATAAACGGCCTCTCTAGTACGATTTGAAAACATAACTAGAAAAAACTATGGACAGCCTCCAGAAAAAGGATATCCTCGATTGACAAAATATTTAAGTTGAGTATAGAAAAGAAGACCCAGGGTGTTGGCTAAATCTTCCTGATATCTCGATCTTCATAAAATTATACATCAAAATATACGGATATGAGATAAATCAAATAGAATTTTGGTAACATTTTCGTCTTCTATGTTTATGAAGGGCACAACGTGTCAGTTTGATATTCATAATGTACAATAAAAACCTACCGCAGAACGCTGAAAAAAAAGTGATACCTCACTAGTCTTTCAATATTCATAAAACTTGATAATCTTGTAGACTTCCCTGATATTAATTAATTTAATGTGCTATCAAAAGCATTTCCCAGAATAATATCATCTTCGATATGAACGCAGGGCTTAAAGCGTCAATTTTCAAATAAAAATCGTCAAAAGTTAAAATAAAGGGTCCCTGGGCGTTGGCTAGGTTTTCCTGATCTCATCTATCGTAATAAAATTAATATAGAAGATAAAGTGAAAAGACTAATCAAGTAGACTGGAAGTTAGTTATACATATTTCGTAATATGAACTAGACCGAGAAATCTGAAAGACTTCTTTTCTTGTCAAATAAAATGAATCTATAGCTACCCATTAGTCTTCTTTACTGTTATAGTACATATAAGTTACATCAAATTGCAGCCAAACGACCAATACATACATGAGAATACATACACAACACCATCATCATCATCATCATAGAAACAAAATGAAAAGATATATACAAAATATCACAATTTATGAACAGAATTGAAAGAGAAAAATTCAAACAGATGTGGGAAGTCAATTTTGTAGATCACCTCTAGTTTTTTTGGTTCGTGTTGCTTAGTCTTTAGTTTTCTAGGTTGTGTCTTGTGTTCTATTATTTGTATGTTTGTCCTTTTCTTTTTTAGCCATGACGTTGTCAGTTTATTTTCGATCTATGAGTTTGACTGTCCCTTTGGTATCTTTCGTCCCTCCTTTGTAGGATATGGGATTTATATTTAAATTACATAATTAGGGATGATGAAGATAGTTTAACAACTTTCTTATTTTGAACTTGTGGTAGATTTTAGAATATAAATAAAGCGAAATATGGTGAAGATCGAAATTCAAATAATACTTATACCGCAACATAATTTTACTTCAAAATAACTGAATTGAATGAAACGCAGAGTACATGTGAACCCAAACAAACAAGTCCTACATCGCTGTTGAAATCAACAACTTTAATAAATTGACCTGCTTTATTTTTCAAAGAGTGAGAATGAGGCAAACATTTTGTCAATGTAAGACTTGAGTTATAAAAGAAAGATAATGGTGAATAATTAGAATAATAGTAAGTATATCATGACAGTCTAATTGATATGTAGACAGGAATGCTAATTCCAAACATACTATTAACTGGTCTGAAATAACTTTTTCACTAGTACAAAATTACATGATTTACGATGCCACTTGTTTAAAAGAATAACTTTTAGTGCATATTCGCATTCAAAGGAACACGTTTTGATATATTTTATTGAGACAGTAATCTATCAATAAAAAAACAACCCACAATAGAAAACAAATTTGGACTTTAGATAAGGCATTGTAAGTGTTGTCAATAACTTACAAAATACATTTTGTTGTTAGATTTTCGTGCATGAGTATGCATATACACACGTTTGTTTAAAATATGCGATTTCGCTTTTAATTGTATGATTTTTTTCGTCGGCACTTATAAACTTTATTCTTTCTAAAGTTTATTGGTGAATCAGCAAAAAGAAAATATTTTCAAACGGGTTAATTTGTTATAAATATAGAAATGTAAAGAAAAATACTTTCGAGGAGAGATACTGTTTTTCGAACGTTTTAAGTTGCTGTCGCATGCCATAGTATAAGGCCGGATGGTTATACAACAAACAGAATGTACTATAAGTTGGTTTTGGTAAATTTGAACACAACTGTTGACATAATATGTTAACTTTCATCAAGAATGAAACAACAGAATTCCAAACAATTATGAACAGAAATTGTCGCAGTAAACACAGGAATTCGTCATTTGTCAGGGAAAAAAATGAACTAATTATGGTCTTTCATCAGGGGTCTGTTCACTAGCATGCATCACAGATAGATCATCTTGGTCTCTCATTGGACGCTGGAGAGCCCTAATTTTAATTCTTTTCCTGCTTTTTTTCGGTTCTTTTGGCAAATATTTTTTCATCAGCAGTCCAGTATGCATTTATGTTACCCCTATATTTCATCAGGGCTAATGTTTCTACAAACGTAGTTCTAAATGTGATCAAATTTTCCGTGATAAATGTACCATTTTCATAATATTTAAGTAACTTATTATTGGGATAAAACAGATGTTTCTTCCTGTCCGAAACAAATCTCTTATAACTTGGGATTGACCATTTCGTGGCTTTCCTAGTACATGAGTCCTTCCAATGTGATTGATGTTGATGTCTTGATTCATTTTATTTTGATAGATATCAAGTATCAGACGATAAGTGTTAACATGAAGTTGGATTTGGCCTTGACTATCAACAGGGACTGGAACATTATGAAAGTCTGACACTGGTTCTTCTAGAACATCGGGACTGGACAGAGCTTCGAGAACTTTGTAAGCAACTCTTACATACAGACTTGTAGGTTTTTTTTCAATGTCTCGCTTATATCGCCGATAAAGTTGCGTCCACGGATTTGTCTAGTTTGTTGTTTTTGAGTACCTGGTAGGATTTCAGGACTTTTAGGGTCACCTAGTTTACCGTTATGGAACAACCGCTTCACAGATGATATCGGATATGTTCCTTACGTCGTAACTACAATCCCCTTCCCTTTTCATGAATGGGACCTACCGAATTAGACTATTTACCGGGTCTGTAATAACATGAGCAACACGACGGGTGCCACATGTGGAGCAGGATCTGCTTACCCTTTCGGAGCACCTGAGATCACTCCGAGTTTTTGTGGGGGGTTCGTGTTGCTTAGTCTTTAGTTTTCTATCTTGTGTCATGTGTACTATTATTTGTCTGTTTGTCTTTTTCATTTTTAGCCATGGCGTTGTTAGTTTATTTTCAATCTATGAGTTTGACTGTCCCTCTTGTATCTTTCGCCCCTCTTTTACAACGTTTACCAGGGTAATATATTGAAGGAGTTGTATCTGGGTTTGGTTGTGAACATGTAAAAAAACTTCTTGCTCAGTGTCATTGTTTTTTTCTCATGGCAGCATCCATTTTCTTTACATCCATTGTGAGTAGTGTCCGAATGTTTTAAATGTGTAGGGAAATGTCACTTGAAATCTTACTTCACGCTAATACATGTATTCGCTTTATAATATCAACACTTATCTTAGTAATTTAATATTACACAAGCCATCAATAATATCACACTAATTATCCCATTGTTTGTGTGGACTCGTTTAACCTGTCATTTCTGTTTCGTGCATGATCATATACTATATCGTAGGTTAAACAAAGTAACTGAATAATAATATGTATATTTAAGCTATTCCTTCTGTGAAAGTCGAAACAGAACGCAACAACGAACATCTGCTAGTATCAAGGTTGGAACGGAGAACACACGGATAATATTTACACATCTATCTTATTTACACAAGTTAAACCGTAGTAACATCAATGAATACTGTCAATCCACAGGGGAGTAACAATCAGCAAGTACAGTTTAGAGTTATAATTTGAATATCTAATCTAAATTGATGACTTAAAATGCGCATACATGTATAATACATATTTGTACACCAATTATGTATATAAATTAGTATGTGATTAATAGTTTATATCGGCTTCTCTCAGCTTACTGCTGTATATCTCTTAAGAACGCACAAAGTCCGGAATAAGCTGTTCGACAGTTCAATATATATTTATGTGCGGTTCGCGTATGATTTTTCAAGCATGTAATTAATTCTTATGAATTTTCACAATAGTTGAAAACTCGTTTTGTGGGTCAGTATATACAGAGAGGTTTGCACACGATTTAATTATCGAGGTTTGGGCAGTGACCATTGTCGTACGTTTCCTTCGTTATAAAGTCTAATTTTCATTAAAAATTGTGTTTTATGGTGTATTGAAGTTGTATCCACATACGTACTATATATATTTATATTGTACTTATAAATATAATTATTTCTGTGACTGTATCTTGCATTAATTTGTAGGATCCTTTACAATAGATAATTCAGCTGATCTGTAACTATTCCATCTTCATGCCTTATACATCATGTACTGTATTACGACGCTCGATTAAAACTGACGAAGAAAGGTAACACCCGGCCACCGAAAGCTTTATTATTGTGAACCCCAGGTGGTCGAGTAGTCTAGCGCGTCGGATACAGTGCAGGCGATTTGGTGTCACGATATCTCAGCAGCATGAGTTCGAATCCCGGCGAGGGAAGAACACAAAATTTGCGAAAGCAAATTTACAGGTCTAACAATGTTGGGCTGATGTTTAGACGAATTATATATACAGAATTTACACAGCCATGTATCACCATCACTGCTGTTGTAGGGTTGTCACTGGTTCAGACGTACTTATAAATATAATTATTTCTGTGACAATTCCATCTTCATTCCTTATATATCATGTACTGTATTACGACGCTAGATTAAAACTGACGAGGAAAGGTTACACCCGGACACAAAAAGCTTTATTATTGTAAAGCCCAGGTGGTCGAGTGGTCTAGCGCGTCGGATACAGTGCAGGCGATTTGGTGTCACGATATCTTAGTAGCAGGAGTTAAAATCCCGGCGAGGGAAGAACAAAAAATTTGTGAAAGCAAATTTTACAGATCTAACATTGTTGGGCTGATGTTTAGACGAATTATATATATCCGAAATATTTATAATATAATGGACTTTATCTGTTTATTATTTTAGCTTGATGGCCTTTTAAAACAGATTATATTGTATGAAAGAAATAAAATTTGAGATGGTCATTGGGCCTAACAGAACGTATTATGTATTATTTCTATTGTGCCTTTATTGTATAAAGGTACATGTCTGAATATGTTCAGATATGTATGCTATACAAAATCAAGAGAGATTTATCACATAAACATTTATGTTTGTTTTAACATAATGAATAGTGAATTAAGAACATTAACCCTATGTATGTTCAAGTAAGCATCTAAGTTAAGTTTAAATTTTGAATTGTATATTTCTTCAATATCAAATCTATATTGTCAGTTTTTTGCATGTCCAATTATCACATTAAAATACAATAAAAATTCATCGCACTTTCAAAAATCCCTAATCAGAAATGATTAGATATCCAGTGATAATGCATCGCAATTATAGTTAAAATAAATCGCTTTCAACAATCGATGTTCTAGATTCTTTTGCTTTTTTAAATTATAATCCTGTTAATAAACTTATCAAAGATACCAGGATTAAATTTTGTATTTACGCCAGACGCGCGTTTCGTCTACAAAAGACTCATCAGTGACGCTCGAATCCAAAAGAGTTAAAAAGGCCAAATAAAGTACGAAATTGAAGAGCATTGAGAACCAAAATTCCTAAAAGTTGTAAGTGTACATTGTAAAGTCATATTCTTATCAAATTCATTCAAAACATTACAAATATTATTTTTCTCGTACAGCTTTTAAACAACCGAAATAAAAATACTTGGAACAACACCCAAATGTCTATATGGACGTATCTTCATAGACGGTCCGAGTTGTAGTTATTTATATACTCAAAATTGGCTTCAAAACTTTCATCAGACAGATACTTTTCCCCCTTAAATCATGTATTTCGTCAAAAGTATAATTTTCTACGTAAACTGTCTGAGTTCTTATTATAGACGGTCCGAGTTGTCTCCGGGCCGACTTGTCTTGCGCCCATAAGTAATACAAACGAATGACGGTGAACATGAACAATCTGAATTCGTACTTTATGTACACTGATTTGTGACCCAATGATTGTGAATTCCGTTACGTCTGATTCACACTAAAATTCTGTTTGTAAATCCAAAACATTGCCATGTAAGTGGGAGGTTTGGAAAGCTATAAAACCAGGTTCAACCCACTATTTTTTTCTAAGAATGTCCAGTACCAAGCCAGGAATATGGCAGTTGTTATTAAATAGTCTGTTTCTATGTATTTTGGCTTGTTGTATTGAAGCAGTTCAGTGTTTCTGATTTTCCGTTATTTTTCTCTTAAAGTTGATGTTTTCCATCGGTTTAAGTTTATGACCCACAATTGTTTTCGGTTAATTGATTTTTGACTATTTAACAGTGGTATACTACTGTTGCCTTTATTTATAAACTAGATTACAAATCTTGTAAACAAAATAATATTTTCTTATAGATCATAGAGATATCTTAAAACTAATAGTTGTATCTTTATTACTAAATAAGATATTTAGTTCAACCCACCATTTTTTTCTTAAAATGTCCTGTACCAAGTCAGGAAAATGGCCATTGTTATATTATAGTTTGTTTCTGTGTGTGTTACATTTTAATGTTGTGTTTTTGTTGTGTCGTTGTTCTCCTCTTATATTTGATGCGTTTCCCTCAGTTTTAGTTTGTAACCCGGATTTGTTTTTATCTCTATCGATTTATGAGTTTCGAACAGCGGTATACTACTGTTGCTATTATTTGTATATTAAGTTATATATCTGACAAATAAATCATAAAATATATCTTGTATGGCTTATAAGATATCTGATAATTTAAATAAGATATATTATATACTATTACATTTCTCTGATAAACTAGACAATATATCTCATAAAGTACTGGATTAATAATTAACAGACATTAAAGATATATAAGATATCTTCAAAACTATATAACAGATATCTTATTTGAATCAAAAGATATCTTTTAAAAGTTGATAAGATATGTTTATAAGTATATTTTATATCTAATAATTTCAAATTAAAAATGGTATTTCAAATAGAATACTAGATATCTTAGAGGTTGCACAAGCCACGCCTGTTTTGGGGAGATATATAATATTCATAGATATGTTAATTTGCTAACGTACTGGTTCCCAGATATGATCAAAAAAAGACATTTGGGAATGTAACTAGTATAGAAAAACACGTTAGCGCCTAAAATTTAATTCTTAGGAGGTCCAAAAGTATAGGTAGGGGTAGTATATAATTTTAGTATAATTTTAATGAGTTTTTGTTCAACGCTTGTAAGTTCAGGGCATATAAATGTTGAAAATTTGCCGCAAAGCCCTATATTTTGACCTTTGAATAAAATAGTAGTGCATATAGTTTTCACGAAACTTCATAGTAAAATTGGCACAGTTTTAGCTGCAAAGGGAGTTCCTACGAGAAATTGCATTGACTATATTTACAGAATTGCAACCTATATATGATAGTCTGCCAGTTTTGCACTATCTATTTCCCGCCACAAAAATGATAACATTCAGGAAAATTAAAAAAAAAAAAGGTATCTGTCGATTTGTTAAAAACGACCCTGCAGTTGTTATTAAGTGCACACGATAGTCCTTCCCGCGAAATATTCTTACATGGAATAGGTTGGCAGCACGTGCATACATGTAACTAGAGTTATAGTGATATCTAATGGATAAAAACCAATACTCCACCAAATAATATGAATTAGTAATACGCAATTATTCCAAATAGATTAGGAAGATCTTGTTTCCTTGTTATAATTGTTACACAATTGTTTGGAACAGGACAAACTACGAGGATTTCATTGTTGGCATTTGCAAATGAGTAGAATCTACTGATAGTGTCAGTGTCCGTAGAAGCAATATTTTCCTGGAGTATTAGCTGTTGTCTCACATACTCATCCCGTACATGTATAACAGTCACCGGAGCGTGATCAACATAAATGCTAACAATGTCTCCATTTAAGTAGCGATTTTTCTTTGACATTGACAAAGCGTTATCATATGTCAAACAGGTTGATATATATTTTGAATCCTTTTTATATTTACTACTACCCCAGGCAACATGAAAAGCAGCTGTAACATTTTCAGCATGTTCATTATGCCTTAGAAGTCTATAAACTTTTCCGTCCCAAGGTGTTACCGGAACTAAAGGGACTACTTCTTCTTTTGGCAACCCATTTGGTGTCATCCAAGTTGTTGTTGTTAACTTATATGTACACGTTTGTGCTGTCATTTCTGCAATATAGTTGTGTTATTGTTCAGATGAACATTATGCAACCTGTAAAAACATATTACATGTAAGATTTTTAGTAATCATGTAAATCAATTAAAAGATCTCACATTACCAAATAACTTATTCTTTTTACTATATGCAAAACAACTTGTAATACACGTTTATCAAATATTTGGTAAATAACAGAGCATATGATATCATATAACTTTATTCGCAATTTTAAGCCATTAAACAGTTTTTTTTTGCTCTGTTCCTTCACTTCATAGGTCCCAAATTCTAGCAAATATTTGCCTTATGTTGAACGTTAATATCACTGTAAATATCAGTTGTGAGCTTTTCATACCTGAAGGCCGATATGAGACGATTATATTTGATTTACATATTAAAAGAAATAAATAAATATTATATTTTTTCTCTTATTTTAAAAAGAGCAATTAACTGTGGTAAAATAGGGAAAATGTCATTATTTTAAAATGTCCAAATATAGTTCCACTTTCAGAAGATGTTTTAAATTATTGATTTGTGAATTTGAATGAAATGGTAATCGCGTCTATTTTTCTGTCGTCAAATTGATACCTTATTACTGCTTTTGCGTGGTAATATGAATCGATGTTAAAGAAAAAACTAGACGAAAACTAGAAAATGTAGTTGTTCGTATAGGAGAATTTATCACACGAACTTTTATGATACAAAAGCTTGACTATTGAAAATAACTAAGGAGCCGAAAAAAAAAAAAAAAAAAAATAAACTCGACAAGAGGTTGAACACTTCGGAAACATCATGATAATTTCGTTGCATATTCTGCATTTGACGACTTTCCTACTTGAAATAAAAACTAACACAACATTATTCAAAATAAGAAACAAAAAAAATTTGCAGTTTTGACTCAACTTGTAAATGTGGTTGACAACGCAATATCATTTAAGCGAGCATGCTTTCCGAGCGTATTTGTAATTTACTCATGGATACAGCGGCGAGTAACTTTGCGGATAATTTTAGCAAAAACGTAACCAAAATAGAAATGTGTTTGTTACCTGGAAAAATGTAAGCTTCTACTTGGGTAAAGAAATAGTTATCGTGCACAAAATCAAAAGCTTTTGATAAATCTTTTGAAAAAAGCAGCTGCAAATGTCTTAATATCTTATGCCTTATCCAGTTTTGTAAAAGCTGAAAACAAAACATTAAAAGGACTATAAAAACTTTTCATTATAGTTCATAATTAAACAATATAACATTGAGCAATTTAATGTAATTTCCTCTATGTAATGTGCATAATGTGTGCATATGATATACATTGACAGTTTGATTTCCTTTGTATAACATTGTCTCTATCATATATTAATAAACATTATAATTGACACTTGTTAAATGTTGGAAACCGGAAGTCAACATCAAGCTGTTTGTCGATTTTTGTCTTCTGGAACTGTTCCAATGACGCAAATTGCACGTATGTGCAGAGTTGGATATATTCAATCATTTTGAATTAGCTTATTATGAATGAAAAGTTTGAAAAATAAAGTAAAATGCTGAATTTTTTGTTTCCGATCTCTTAGTTAAGATCGCGACTATTGGAATAAACAGCTGCGCTTTTATTGGGTATATTGATATGGTTGCAAGAATGAAATTGGATTTTTTAGCAGACCATAAACAAAGAAAAACATGCATGAGGATACTGACGTTGTATATCATCTTTAAAACGTTTTCTGATGACACTTTATTTTTATTCGTCTATTTGAATACTACTTTTACTGTCTATCTTTAGTAATACCCATTTGGCGTGGCTCGGTACTTATACAGCCCGTCATTGTGTTATTGTTCTATGGTTAATTAATGTTTTTCTTGTCTTTTAATTTAGCTAATGTGCTTTGTCTATATGCCTTTTTGTGTTTCTTAGCTTAAATATTTGTTTGTTTTTATAGTTATTCAGATTATAACATAATGCTGGCTGTTGTTTCCCTTATTTGTGACATGTTTACCTATTATGTCTTATTTCTTTTATCTGTTTGTTTTGTTCACACTTTGTTGTCAATATAATTGAATTGTATGTGACTGTCATTCAAGTTAGGGGTTTAGCTAGCTATACAACAGGTTTAAGCCACCATTTTCTACATTAGATGTGTTTGAGATTTTGATTTTGCCAATTGATTAGGAACTTTCCGTTTTGAATTTTCCTCGGAGTTCGGTATTTTGTTATTTTTTTTATACTAGTTACAATAACACTCTTAGTGCTGATTTTCAAAAAAAATCTACACTGCGCAAACTGTTTTATGTCGTTGATGTTTATATCATTTTAATCAAATTTTATTAACAATTTTTTTTTCATTCCGCGCCAACAGAAAGAGATGTTCCGAAAGTACCTTATTGTGTAATGCAGATGTGTTGTCATGCAGAAAAAAAAAATCAATATTTAGTGTCTATTCCATCTGACTGGATCATTTAAATTATCTAATCAATGATACCTGTGCGTGACCAATGAATATTGAAGTTATAGTTACTTCTTTGTTAGATAGACCTTTAAATAGATTCAAACTTGTTAGCTATAAATAACGAAAAAGTACTAATAGCTTGTAATTTACTACACAAAGACGACTTAAAAACACATTGAACTAGATTATAACGTTAGTTTCAGCATGGACTATCACACTAACTTAAATTTAAAATATCAGTGTTAGCACATACATACATGCATCTTACAAATAACCTTGTTTTATGTAACACAGTTTTTCTGTTTTTTTTTTAAATATTGTTATTGAATTAAATAATTTTGTAACATAATAATGCTTACAAAAGTTGTCTTACTGGCAAATTGTCTTGATAGTTGTATTCAATAAAAAAAATAGTAAAAATATTTCCGTTATCAAATGGCAAAATAAAAAGCTAAAACACATCAAACGAACGGTTAACAACTGGCATATTCCTGACTTGCACGCACTAGATAAACAAAACTCAATGTACAAAAAACAATACACAATGTTTTTTTTTAATTCAATTTCCAAATGAGGTCCAAAAAGAAAATTCATATACGTGTTACACAGTATACCTTTACCCATTGCCGGATTTAGAAGTTTCAAAAAGAGAGGGAGTCTGAGAGGTCCATTTAAAAACACAGATATCTGGCATTCAACAATTTGAAAATGCGCAATAGACACAGTTTTTGGTCTAAGTTGCCTCTTTGATTCGCCTGAATGTTAAACAAAAGTGTATTCTTCCTTTTTACAAATCCCATATATATATATACAATGCTTTTTTCATAAAAAAGTAAATAATTAAGATTACCTTTCAAGTTATAAAAATGTCTTCTTCTTTAAAAGTAATTTCTACTCTCGTTTCATATGTATAATAAAACAGACGTCGTCAAGTAATTTATCCATACGTGTATCTTGTATTCAATGGATTTAAATTCCCCCTCTCATGTCCGTCCGAATTTAAAGTATTTCTTCACTAAATTCCTTTATACAAATAAGACGTACCTCTATATAGGTTTGGTTGATCGCAGTAACGTGTTCGTCGAATTTTTCTCTTGCAAACAATGTTTGACAATAAAATACGTTAGTAAAAAAAATAACCCTATTGAAATGTATCCATCTGATGAGTTAGATTATAATCCTGGTACCTTTGATAACCAATTAAGCCTTTTTCAGCCAATTTTTATAGTTCGTTCTTATGTATTACTGTTGCACCACTGTCCCAGATTAGGGGAGGGTTGGGATCCCACTAACATGGATAACCTCGCCACATTCTGTATGTATGTGCCTGTCTCAAGTCAGGAGCCTGTAAATCGGTGGTCGTCATTTGTTGCTAGGGACCTCGACGGCCAAGTGGTCTAAGTAGTTTTACTACTGTAATCACTAGCCTGTCAACACTGAGGTTGTGAGTTCGACATGTTCGATTCCGCCTGTGCAGATGCACTCTACTCCAATCTTAATTGACTAGAATTGTCTGTATTCTTATTGAAGGTGTGTGGTTTTCTCCGGGCACTCCGGCATCCTCCACCAATGAATTAAATTATTGAGAATGATTGTATGTGAGAAAATGTTAAACTGTTTTCTTTTCAACATTTTATCTTTGATTAGTAGTAATTATCAATCATTATCATGGAAGGGTTAAGTTTAATACGACTTAATAACTCGATATAACAACTAAACTTTCTAACTAACTATCACTGACGAATCAGTTAAGTCGTCATCATGACTTGGCTTATTTGTTATCACGACTCAATAACACATTGTAACCAGTTATAACGAATATGTTTATTCACTGTAACGAATTACTAAGTTGTTATAACGTGTTAATAAGTTTTGATAACGAGTACAGCAAAGTCATGAACAAGAATTAGAATCTGATGTTCAGTAGTTGTCGTTTGTTGACGTGATTCATAAATGTTTCTCTTTCTCCTTTTTTCTATAGATAAGACCGTTGGATTTCCCGTTTGAATGGTTTTACACTAGTCATTTTTGAGGCCTCTTATAGCTTGCTGTTCGGTGTGAGCCAAGGCTCTGTGTTGGAGGCCGTACTTTGACCTATTACGAAGTACTTTTATAAATTGTGTCTTGGGTGGAGAGTTGTTTCATTGGCACTCATACCTCATCTTCTTATATATCTATAAGAATTAAACTACAGCCTGACACAAACCGGGGTCCAAAGCTAAGAATGATTCGTGTCTCGTTTACGTTTATATTCCAAATCTCATTTAATAAAAAATCAGAATTTAGATTTCTAGAATATGAATACGAACGCACCATTTAACCAACTATTATGTTAATATGAAAGTAGCCAACATTACTAAGCACTTTGGTGACTCTTAATAAGTATCATAAACTCAATTTTAATGCCGTGTCAATTTATTTTTTTGAAGCAAGAAATAAAAGAATAATGTTGGAACATTTTCAGCTGATTTTCACCATTCAGTGTTTTGTGAATGACTAAGTCGATAAAATTAGTACCGCGGTGCATCTCCATTGCAATTAGGAAGATCTTGTTTCCTTGTTATAATCGTCACACAATTGGCTGGAACAGGACCAACTATAAGCACTTCATTTCTTTTCTGGGCAAAAGAGTCGAATTTCAAAATAGTTGCCGGATTTTCTTCGTTTTGTTCTGCATTTAGCTGCTGCCTAACTTTTGGATCATATACATGTAGAACATTCAATTGATCTGTATCAATGCTTACAATGTGGCCATTGTAGAATTGATTTCCCTGTGAGAATCTTAAGGCGTCATTATAGTTAAGACAGGCTGAAATATATTTTGAATCCCGTCTCCTATTACTACTCCCCCAGGCAACATGATAAGCAGATTTTACCTTCGACCGCTCCTTCATATAACAGTCTTTAGCTAATAATCCATACTCAGGATTATCATCTTGTGGAAGAAGTCTGTAAACTCTTCCATCATGGGTGCAACATGTGACGCCATTGCTGTATAGTGTTGAGTGACACACGATTATCAAATATTTGGATCATGATCGACCACGTCTTTATTTGAACTATACAAATGTTTAATGCAAAGATCGGGAAAGATAGGACAAAATATGTATAAAATCTTTAGATAATCTTTTAGACATTTGGTTTCCGGACATTAACCTGAATATAAGTGTTTGGATCTCTATGATTTTGTCCCATAAGGTTCCATACATCAGAAGGAAGTTTTTAATTAAATTTCGGGGTTATGACCTAAACGGTTAATGTATTTTCAAATGTTCAAAGGGCTGAAACAAATGACTTTCTGGTTTCTGGACAATGCCTTGAGTATTAGCCATCGATCTCTATGAAATTAAACCAAACGAAGGTTGGTATTAGTCTTGGGGGTTATCGTTCTAATTGTTTAGTAATTAGTGGCCAAAAAGGGGACACAACCTTTCCAATACTTTGTATACATTATTATTTCTCGATCAATTTCGAAGAGGTCATATTCAAAGTCTTGAATTCTTAGGGTTCTTTACTATGCTGATACTGTAACCGTGTTTAAGATTATTGATTTTAGGGCCTGTTTCAATAGGTTCACATTGAGGTCCAAAATTAAGTTTAAAACATAGTTCGATTTTAAATAAAATTAAATTATTTCGTCTCTTAATATGCCGAAGCGAACCGTGTATTTAGATCTAAATTTTGGGCACCGTTTTCAAATTAGAACATATCAAGATCCATAAATTTTATGCAAATAAAGAAAAACACACTTACTGTTTCAGTGGCACACAATAAAATCACTAACTTCGTAATAGAACAGATAAGGGCTTTGTTTTCGGAGTGCATGTTCTTAAGTTATAACATTTTGAAATTAATACCATACAATCTATATGTATAACTAGTTGTTTTTATATATTGTGTTATAACCTATTGTTGTTTTTTCGTTACGGCGTTTACAATGCACAACTTTTGTTAACGTTTATGTAAATATAGATATAACGGTCTGGAAGGTCTTTTAAATGAAAAAAGCATGTATCAAAAAGCAATAGTTAGCATGGTTAACATCGAAATATCTGTGTTACCCAAAAGGTGAAGTTCGTATTTCATACCGTGACAAGTGATTAAGGAAAACAATATGTCTATTAATGATAAAGTCAAACATATATCATAAAACCAAGCGAAAAATATAATATTTTCATTATTTTGTAATGGATAGTATTTGCTTTTAATAATCGAACAATTGTGTCGCTTTGGTCGTTACAAATAGGTAAAATATATCTTAATCATTAAGACACTAACACGTACATTCATAGGAGCTTATTTTTGTAACTTTTTTGTGTCTTTTTTATCATATTTTATTGATATATTTGGAGTCATGGCCGGTTCGTTATTCGTTATTCGAAATTATGTTGAGCAAGATCTGCTAACCCTTCCGGAGCACCTGAGATCACCCAAAGTTTTCGATTGGGTTCGTGTTGCTTAGTCTTTAGTTTTCTATGTTGTATCTTGTGTACCATTATTTGTCTGTTTTTCTTTTTCTTTTTTTGACATTGTGTTGTCAGTTTATTTTCGATCAACGTGCTTTGGTCAGATCTACATGATCTCTCAATCTTCATAAAATTATGCACAAAGTTAATAAGTATAAAGATATGAGTGACATCAAAAGGAATTTGGGTAAAATTTTCGGAAATCCTTTTGATACGATCCGTGTATAAACATAGTTTAAATGATTAATCAATTTTATGGACCTTGAAAGACCAAAGGGGTCTCATTGTCATTGAAGCGGTGTCCGGAAGGATTTCACTATATATTACGAATATCAAACTGGCATTAGATCCCTCCATAAACATAGACAAAAAGAAGTTTACCCAAATTCCCTTTGGTGTCATTTGTATCTTTAAATTGAATAACTATCTGCATAATATCATGAAGATTGAGAGAACGGAGGGGTCTCAACATTGCCCTGTGCCTTTCGGTCTGAAATTTTGACAAGTTTTACATAGTCTAAATATCATTAAATTTTATTGACATTGAAACATCAGTAGGGCCTCATTGTAATCTAAGCGGTCTCCGGTAGATTTGCAGCATATATTTGTAGAAAGTATTTTTTTCGCTGTCAGGATAACTTTGCAGATGTTTATAAATTTGATCGCTTTGTTCATTATAATTCAGGGGTTATTCCTTTTTCAAGCAAAAATAAAGTTTCAAATTAACCTTTAAAAGCCTTCAGTTTTAAGCAACTTTATACAACGCATGACTGGTTGAGATCACCCCAGTATTTGATGTTGTTTGTTGTTTAGTTGTCTATGTTATAATTTGTAGAACTTTGTTTATCTTTCCGTTCTTTTTTCTTCGCCATGGAGTTGACAGTTTATGACAGATTTATCATGTTTATGAATTTTGATAAACCTTTTGTATCGTCCGCCTCTCCTTTAAACAGCGTATATCAGCGCGTTACATTGGCACGATTTTTTCTACGTTTGCGCGAACAATTTTTCAAATTTGCGCTTTTCGTCAATTAAAATCGTTAATTCTTAAAATGCGTGCGATATATATAACTTAAAATATCTGCGAGGTCCTAAAAGAATATAATTCTAATAAAAAACTAACTGTATAACCCATTCGGCGCACCTCGATAGATCTAACAATTTAGAGTAGCGAAATATGCCAAGGTGTGCCGATTTAATCATAACACTCCAAGGATAAGAATGGTTGTTTTATCTTTATAATATGAACTATACAAAAAATATGAAATTTAATTTTCATGCATAGAAAGATCACATCACTGCTCATGAAAACAGTTTGTAATTAAACACGACAGTTGAATAATGTATTTCAGAAACCTAATGATGCACTTGTTTCTTCAAACTAACCATGCTTATAATTACCAAGGCTTAATAACTGTATTTGTTGAATTTGTAACTTTTAATCCAATGTTAACTCGACTGTTTGATTGGTTATCAGACACGAAGAAAAGGATGTATATGCAAGTAATATATACAGTTGCATAGATAGTATGACAAACAAGAGGATCGCAAGAGCCTGAATTGCTCACCTGTAATTTTATGCTTAAATCTTTCATCAATGATTATTTTTACTTTTCAATATTTATTAATGAGTAGCTTAAAAATGCCATTTAAATGTTCTATGTATCTGTCATATTTTCTTCAAAAGCAAACACATGCATTTTACTCCTATGATCCATATAAACTCATCATATATACCAGGATTGAAATTTTTGTATTTGGGCCAGACTCACGGTTTGTCTACAAAAAAACTCATCAGTGACGCTAAAAAAAGGTTAAAATGGCCAAATAAAGAACGAAGTTAAAGATCATAGAATTAAAAATTCATTTTTAACCATAGCTGCTATGTTTCTTGACGCGCAAGGAAATACAATATAAATGTATACTATATACTCTAAAACTCATTCAACCGAAATTTGGCTGAATTGATTCAGCAGTTTCAAAGGAGAAGATTTTTTTAAAGTAAGCAAACTAGATGAACAAATTATGAAAAATTGTCCTTAAAGGGCAATAACTCCTTAAGGGGTCAATTGAGAATTTTGTTCGTATAAACATACTTGTAGATCTTACTTTGCTGTTGACAGTTAATCTTTATCTTCAATAACATTCAAGATAACCAATAACTGCAAAATTTCCTTAACATTACCAATTTAGTGGCAACAACCCAACAATTGGGTGTTCGGTTAATCGGAAAATTTCACGGTTGATAGATCCTGACCTTTTAAACAAATTTACCCAACGTTTTAGTTTTTGAGATATATGGCAAAAACTGCATTTGACCACTATGTTCTATTTTTAGCCATGGCAGCAATGTTCATTGATTAGTCAAAACCTCGGATACAATTTATAAACAAAATACCTTAAGGAACATTCATTTAAAGTTTAGAAGTATAAGGCCTGTAGTTTCAGAGAAGAAGATTTTTAAATGTTAGCAAACATGATGAACAAATTGTGTAAAACTGTCTGTAAAGGGCAATAACTTATAGCTATAGGGGTCGATTGGCAATTTCGGTCAAATTAACTTTTTTTGTAGATCTTACTTTCCTGATCATTTTTGCTGTTTACAGTTTATCCCTTTTTATAGTAATATTCAAGCTAATAACCAAACATTGAAAAATTTCCTTAAAAAACCAATTAATTGGCAGCAACGAAACAATGGCTTGTTCGGTTGGTCTGAAAATTTCAGGACTGATAGATCTTGACATATTGGACATATTTACCTAATGTCAGATTTGCTGTAAATGCTTTGTTTGTTGAGATATACATGTAAACCGAAAACTGCATTTGAACCAAATGTTCCATTTTTATCCATTACGGCCACGTTTGATGATAGACCAAAACTTTTTGACTGGAAGATTCAAACAAGAAGATTCTTGAAATAGTTTACAACGACGACGCCAAGACAGAAGACGGAAAACGACGGATGCCAAGTGATGGCATAAGCTCACATGGGCCTTTCGTGCTCCGATGAGGTAAATACAGAGGTGAAAGATACTAAACTAAAAGGTGAAAAAAAACTTACAACAGAAGACCAGTTAATGAACATAACAGAGAAAACTAAGCAACTTTGACAGATGCCCCGGAAGGGTAAGTTGATCATGCTGCATATGTGGCACCCGTCGTGTTGGTTAACAAAACTGTCACGTAACGCAAAAAAAAGTTAGAAATGCGTTGATATATGATTTTAAAATGTAGTTGTCCTATGTTGAATATAAATATCACGGATAATGGTCATTCTGTTTACTTAAAAATGTAAATAATCAGTTAAAACCAATAAAAAAAAGTAAGTATTTTTTGCCCGTAACATAGTTGGCCCGAGTCTGATTTTAGGTTTTCAATGCTTTTCTTTTTGTTATTGTTTTGATTCTGACGACATTGATAAGTCTTATGCAGACAACACGAGCAACTTGGTTATTCTACTATAAGCCTTGTATAAATCAATTTTTGTTTGAGCAGAAATTTTTTTATACGCAACATTCCAAACAAAGAGGAATGTGTAAAATACATGTGTACATTGTTGTGGTTTTTGAGGTAACATAAAAAAAGGAAAACAAGAACAACTAAAATTATTTGAAATACAAAAGAAACCGATCTCTCTGAAAAAGAATGCCTCACTGTGACTTTGAGATGGCGATCAGAACTTAAAACGCGGTATTTTGCTTTTTGTGTGTTTTTTGCTGTGCATGTACTGATTTTGTGTCATGAATGGATCCCCATAGCCTTTCTTTATATATTATACATCCATAAATTTATGAGGTAAACCCGAGGGTAAACCAATACAGCACATTTTTCCTCTCTAGACTGTATGTCGTAAAATCTAATCGCATAATAAGAGATATACGCAGTGCAGCTAACTACATGATATCTTCTCGAAGAAGTTAATATAAGACGACACGTAATAAAAAAAACAAATCAAAGATACCAGGATTAAAATTTTGTATGTCAGAAGTGGGTTAAAATATTTTCGCCTACACCTTACACAGGAGGTTTGTCACACCTGTTGCTTGAATACTGCTTTCATGTCGTCTTATTAATATTTGAAATCTGTAGTACATGCGAGAGGCCATTAAGCATTTAAAAAATATTTAAGGTATATGAACGACACCTTAAATATCATATTATACATCATTCATGCTAATTGTACAGTATAAACACTTGAAATAAACAGTTACTTTATGAACTTAAAATCAAGTCGAAGAAAAGAAGGTAACACAATTGCAAAAAAAAAGAAGATTCATTTACCAACTACTGACGACGAAATCACTATACTGACAACTAAAGGTTGCTGTATACACTGGTGCTACAAAATTGATGTGGAGGATGAGCAGTTTGTGGTCTTAAAATTTCACCAATCGTGCAAAATCCAATTACTAAGTTGGATAACTGACACACTTACTCGTGTAAGTTATTTTTTATTATTCAAATTTTTGAAAGAAAGTTAACATAAACCATGTTAATAGAAAGATTCAGGGATAATTTGATGTAGTGATTAATTTTTCAGATACAATTTTGCTTTTTAAATATTTGCACTTTGACCTTTCTCTTTTTCCTGAATATGCATGTTATATTCCCAACTGGAATTTAAACATCAATTAATTAAACATACTTCAACATTTTATTATCAAATGCAGAAACACATGTGACAAGCTAAATGTTAGCATATAACATTTAAAAAACACTTAAAAATGTTTAAGTACAAATTGTCATGTTAAAAGCCCCAGTTGTACCTCCTACGTCATACTGACCATACATTGTACACGCGTCGGCTGTAACTTGACCAGTATAAGATACAGTGTAAGTAGGATATGTTTTAAAAAAATTAATGTCCTTAGATAATGGATTCCAAGATCCATTAATGATATATGTGCCAACACTATCGGAACCTCCTCCGGTGATGGAATTTCGGTCAAACTGTATAGACATTGACCAGGAGTATTGCTCATCTGCATATATATAGTATCCAGAACAAACTCTATCTCTGTCATACACAGGCAAATTTTGTTCACGTGAATTTAATGTGAAATTAACGTGAATTTCACGTGAAAAAATTCACGTGAATTTCACGTTAATCGAGCTTATACGCGTAATTCACGTGAAATATTTCACGTGAATTTCACGTTAAACTCACGTGATTTTCACGTGAAATACTGATTCACGTGAAATTTTTCATGTGAAATTCACGTGAATTGAGCCTTTACGTGAAATTCACGTGAACTTTTCACGTGAAATTAACATGAATCGAGATTCTTTTTTTTAATGAAATTAAAGTGAATTCAGCCTCAATCACACTAATTTCACAGGATTTGAGCTTATTTATGTAAGTCAATTCTAATCTAATACAAATTCTGTTTTGATATATATATAAACATGAAAAATATTATTCTTGGTCTGGACCATGTGTTCATACTTCCATTCTGTTTTACTTTCTTTGTTTCCAAAATTTTTTGGTCTTAAACAAAGAAGGCAAGCAAATGCATCACAGGATATAAATTATATCCAGGGCACCTTAGTTCACTCCTAGAACTTTTTTGGTTGTGTTGAGTCTCAATCCTTTTTTGTAAATGATTTATGGACTGTGGTCATTTATAGAAGTTGATTGCACTGATGTATATTTCATTTGAGTTGATTTTTATTATGTTTGTATAAGTCATATTGTGTGGTCATCAGTTTTGACACAAACCAATCACATTATGGAAAAGACTTACTTGCAAAAGATGCCAATTCTCTTTAAGAAGGTTTTGAAGAAAAAAAACTAGTTCACCTCGCCACTTATTCATGTACCTGCTTAAAGCCAGAAATCTTTTCAGTGGTTGTCAAAAATCTCGTCTTAATAAAAAAAAAATATTCAGAGAATTTGGTGTTGATGGCTATTCTTGATTCATATTGTAATTTTTTTTATAGCCTCTGGTCAATTAAATAGATCATGGCATATCTTTTAGACACCTGTCTTTTGTTGAGGACTGCATGTTAGCACCTTAATGCCTTTCAGGTGTTTTTGTTGTTATATTGCTGGCTGATTGATGTATACCTCATGTCTCATTGTACTAATAAACTAAAATAGAAAGTTCTGTGAAATATAGCTGATATACAAATGTACCATATTGAAAGGCTCTCTGTAATTTACAACCATTTACTTCTTATTTCATATATGCAAAAATAGTTTTTTTCTCATTTTAACACTGATCTTAAGGTTAAGGCAAAATGTTGACAAACAACAGGCATATACCATTAAAAGATCTCAAAGTTTGACTGCACAATAAGCTAAAAATTCTTGTTATTTCATTTTTTTTATATAAAATTCATTTTAAAACATGCATTTTCATTTTTTTACTGTAACTTGTATGTTGACACAATAATTTGAATTTGAATTGTATTATATTCTGAAAGTACTTGTGGTTGAAAAAATATACACAATTGTTAATTCCAGTTGGTTTACGTTTCTTGAAAACACCACTACTATGACTACATGTCTGTTAATAATGTTTAAGAGTCCTCTTCTGCATATAATTGCTATTTGTACCCAAGGATTCCTTCATACATTTGCACTTCTCCTCCTAAGATGTTGCTCCAATGATAAAATCCTGTAATGCATACTTAGCAATCAGACTCTTTGAATACTTCCTACAGTTCCTGTAATATAATAAAATCAGCATGTTTGTTTCTGTAGTCAAGCAAAAAAAATAACACCAATTTAATCTCCAATGATTACCAAACTTATAATTAGGAGATAACTGTTTTGTTTTTTAAGCTCAGACATGATCATTGGTGATTTGATGGTGATTTACCCAGTAAAACCCAGTGATTCCCACTGGGCTGGGCACTACTCATAAAACCCAGGTTTTTGCCAACCCTGTTTCAGGACATTTTATAGCTCGCTATGCTGTATCAGTTTTGCTCATTGTTGAAAGCTGTACATATGATCATTTACAGTTGTCAATATTCAGTCATTTGGACTCTGGTGGATAGTTGTCTCATTGGCAATCATACCATGTCAAATTTTATAATAAATTACTTATGAAAACAAACCACATTACCTGTATATATAAGTATACTTAGTGCCTATAGAAACACAACTCATCATTTTCAAGCCCCCTTCTTACATGTCTTAGCCCCATTTAAATTACAATACTAACACAGTATGTTTATGGCTCTATGCATTCTGGAAACATCTGGTTACCTGATACTTTTCCAGTTAAGAAATTTGTGATTAGCTTCCATAGGGGTATAAATCAAAACTCCAAATGCTCTGAAAATTGATAATCTAGCAGACTGTACATTTTTTAATTACCTCTGCAACGGAGGTGTGGCGGTTCATTATGGTTGAACTTTGCCATGTTAACAAGTTGTACCTCCAAAACTGTAGGAGGAGATAGCCAGACAAACAAAGTATCCTCATCCGGACGGACAGGGGTAAATTGATATTATTCCCCCTCAACTGTTGCTGGGCATAACTACATGTGCTGTAGCATGTGTAAGGGGACCAGAATTGTGTTTTTATTGGCACTCAGTATAAATTTATATAAAATAGATATCACAAGAGACGAGTAAACACGCTGAAATGTCTTGCATGTTTTGCTATTCATGATATATTTTATGTTGATTGTTCTAAACATGCTAAAGATATAATTTTACTATAAGTATGATATATAAACTTAACATAACCAATGATCCATGAAAAAAATACTGTCAAGCAAATAATGCCAAGGTCAGAAAAACCAAGCCAGACAGACATGTGCACCTTACAATCATTGCCTACCCCAAATATAGCTGATCTGTTAATTGATTATAGCTTGTATAGTATACAACAAACACAGTGGCAAAATCAGAAATTTTCATAAGTGGGGCCCACTGACTGCCTAAGAAGGGGCCCGCTCTGGTCAAGCTTCAGTGATTCCCTATATAATCAACCAAATTTTTCCCAGAACAGGGAAGGGGGGAGGCCCCCTGCCCCCCTAAATCCGCCTCTGCAAACAGACCAAAATATGAAACTTATTATTGACTAATGAACTATGAATATCAGGTCATGGTAAGATGAACCCTGCCCAGACAGACATGTACACCATACAATCAGTTGCAGACAAGACAAAAATGGCCTAATTCATGATAGCAGTTATTGTTTAATCTTGGTCAAGCTATTTTGATAATTTTCCTCAAACTACAAGCATAACATATATACACATGGGAATATTAATATGAAATAAGAATTGAAATCTAAGGAAATCCAGAATATAATATTCTATTTTCATAAATTTACATGGACTGAAAAGGGGTAAACAAATCTAACTACATGCCTATTCCATACATGTATATATAGCAGATTAACTTTTCCCTTGATCTGTTGATTGATAGTGTTTTTTTATTTTGTCAGTTTGCGTGGACTCCTTTTTAAATTTGCACAGGATTCGGCATTTTTGTTATACAATTTTGACAGCAAATACTGTAACAAATACATACCAGTTACATGTACTGTATCTATAGGGTCTCCACTACATGTATATCTAATCAAGTCATTCATTTCATCGAAACATATAACATGTATAACTTCACTTCCACTTACATCTGGGGAGCTAATTCTGAAAATTTAAATTCCAGTGATTATTATAAATATAAGACCTGAACCTGATCATGCTGATGAACTGTTTTCCAAATAAAAACATGGCAATACAACTGAAAATTCATTTAGATATATGTCAAATTCACACAGGCAATTGTTTTAAATAAATGTTGATAGTGTCCACATGAGGACACAGATGATGCCCCTGCTTGCATATCATATAGTTATAAAGGGACATAACTGAAGAACGGTAAAAGTGATGCTACCCAAATTTGAACTTGATCTGAGTTTTGTGGTAATAAGCATTGTATGTAAGTCTCATAACATTCGGTTGAGGCTAACTTAAGTAGAAAACAGAAACTAAAAATTCAGCAATTTTTCTATTTGTAAACACGCATAACTCTAGAACAGTTGTGTATAAGTTTCATAACATTTGGTTGAGGCAAACTTAAGTTAGAGAACGGAAACTAAAACTTTTGCAATTTTTCCATTTCTAAAGGGCATAACTCTAGAACGGTTAAAGTGACGCCACCAAAATTCAAACTTGATCTGTGTTTTGTGGTAATAAGAATTGTGTATAATTTTCATAACATTTGGTTGAGGCAAACTTAAGTTAGAGAACGGAAACCAATTTTGGGACGTACGTACAGACGGACAAGGGTAAAACTTAATGCCCCCACCGTTACGGCAGGGGCATAAAAATATTCACCAAGAGAGAAAACAATTAATTTTTCTTTTAACCAATAAGTGAACATCACTAGCAAAATGACTAGTACTAAATTTCTAGATTGAACTGTTGCGCATTTTGTCAGGATCTTTAACAGCTGAGTAAACAGTATTGTTCTGTTCATTGTTGAAGGTCTTAAAGTGGGCTAAAACTGCTTACATCCCCTTCATTTTGACCGTGGCTGATCATGATAGTTTTCTTATTGGCAATTCTACCACATCTCCTTATTTTCAAATTACTAAAAATTATCAATCTGCAACAATTAAATTCTATTTATATACACAGCTACTTTTGCATAAGTACTATTTCTGTACCAAACATATGTAGTACTGGAAATCTACTTTTAATATTCAGTACTATTTTGTTACTTTAAAATTAGTGCAATATTTAGGAAACTTTATTTTACAGTAGCAGTGTACATGTACATTGTATATATATTGATTAAAGGTAATCTGATCATCACTATGAAGCAATGTTCAAAACACTCTGCCATTATCAGAAATCAAATTTATTTAAAGTCCAATGACAAAGTATATGTGCAAAACACTCAAAACTTTTTTTAAGTACCACAATCTGACAGAATTCATACATATACATAATCAGTGAGGCATAAAATGAAGGTCAAAAAGATATACTTTTTGTTGGATGCTACATCATCATTATTAGTTAAATGAATGCAAGACATTGAGTACATGTAGTTACTAGTACATAATATTTGAACTTAAAATAAAGGATAATCTGATTTTTATCAGTCTCTGATCAGAAATAAAGCCACACAACAGCGAAATATATGTATCAGAGATGCACATACAATCATTGAATATATGTTTAAGATTAATACTTAGCATTGGCTGTCAACGTACATTTTTTGGTACATGTAAAAATGGACTGTCTGATAGGCAAACTCCACATAGAGATTGGACACTACATGTAGGTTACTTCATTAATTCCAGTATCAGTCATTATCAATAGTCAACTCCTCTGCCCATACCTTGTAATACTGCTGAAAGGGAGAAAACAGTACATTTGTGGACGTAATACTATTCAGAGTTTTGCAAACAATTAGCTTATAATATACATGTATTTCTTGCTATATGTATTTATATTAAACTTAGAATTGTACTATCAAATATCAACTAGAGGCTCTCAAGAGCCTGTGTCACTCACCTGTATCCACTGTTGTTTTGAAAATCATAATTAATAGTATTAGATACCCTTTTAATGATTTTATTAAATTTGGTCCAGTAGTTTAAACTAAAAGCAGGTCATCCCATTGTAGTCTTACAACAGTAACTGAAGACCCCTTGTCATTATTAAATTAGTTTTCAAGTTGTAACCATTTGAAATTGATTGTTTACAATTTCCCCTTAGACTGTATGGGATTTGCTCATTGTTGAAGGATGAACTGTGACCTGTAGTTTATGTTAACTTCTACATGTATGTCATTTAATCTTGGGTGAAGGGAAATTATACCATATCTTCTTTTATCTATATATTAGTTCAGGTGTATGAACATATACAAATGATGTACAATGTATATTATTCAAGACTTAAATGTTTTGAAACCAGAAAATCCTTCTTTTTTTTTGGCCCCAAATTATTAAATGGTTTACATGGTTTAGTCTGTTACCCCAAAAATTAATCCAAACCTTCTTTTGAGGTATGGAACCTACAAATGACCTATTAAGTAGTACAATTTTATAGTTATCCTACACTTATACACAATTTATTACCATGAAACATGAAAAATGCTTGTTTTGGACCATAATTCCTACATTTGTCCTAAACAGTTTCTTCTATAAAAAAAAATCATCTGAACTGAAACAAAATTTGAACTTGATATGCAACTTGTCATGGTAAAACTACATGTATACAATAATCATGAAAATTATCAGATCAATATCTTCAAGCATATATAACAATAAAATGCTCTGCTGGGCGCAGCTTGATACGACCGCAGAGGTCGAACCCTGAACAGTTGGAGCAAGTATGGATACAACATTCAAGCTTGATACAGCTTTGGATTGTGATTAAATATTTGACACAGCATAGGTTCTGACACAGAATGAATGTGGTCAAAGAACTTAAAGATTCAGCATATCAAAGAACCCCAAGAATTCAATTTTTGTTAAAATCAAACTAAGTTTCATTTTGGACCCTTTGGACCCTAATGTAGACTAATTTGAACAAGAGGCTGTCAGAGAGACAGCAAACCGGATTTTCCTGCAGAGGTCTAACACTGAACAGTTGAGCAAGTATGGACACTACATTTAAACTTAAAACAGCTCTGAATTTGGATTGTGATTGAATATTTGACACATCATAGGTTTGTGACACAAAATGAATGTAGTCAAAGAACTGATATATTTGAAATTGGACATTTAAATACCTATTATGGTCCAATATCCAAAATCTAAGTACATATTAGAATCAGCATATCAAAGAACCCCAAGAATTCAATTTTTGATGAAATCAGACAAAAGTTTAATCTAGGACCCTTTGGACCCTGATTTGGACCAACTTGAAAACTGGGCCTAAAAATCTAATATCTAAATAGAGTTTAAATTCAGCATTTGAAAGAACCCTATATATATATTTAATTTATGTTGAAATGAAACACTGGTTAATTTTATCCATAATATTTTCTGTGCAAATGGAAATAACTCAAACTGGATAAATAGTTCTCTAAAATAAGATATGATGCATTTTTTCAAATTATAATTATATATATAATCAATAATATAATAACAACAACCAGTGATGACTAATTAATATAAGTTCTCTAAAATTAGATATGATTTAACACTCAAACATTGTTAGAATCAGCATATCAAAGAACCAAAGAATTCAATTTTTGATGAAATTAAACAAAAGTTTAATTTAGGACCCTTTGGACCTCAATGTGGTATTATCTTATTAATAATGAAAAGCTCGACCGTTTACAAGTTCTTAAACAGGAGGGGGGTGGGGGTGACTCAAAGGGACTCGCCTTATACCCCATGGATTTCATTTGATTTGTTTTATTGTCCCATACAAGAATATATATGGTTTCGGAGATCTTGACCCTTTACAAGTTTTCAAAAAGAAGGGGTTGGGGGTGACCCCAGGGGACTCGCCTAAAATTTTGAGGCAATTACCCCCAAAATCAAACCCAGCATTCCCTTTGTGATATGGAACCTTGTGGTACAATGTCAGAGAGATCCATACACTAACACACAAGTTATTGTCTGGAAGTTACAAAAATGCTTATTTTTGGCCCCTAATTCCTTAACTGTTGGTACCATAACCCCCAAAATCAATCCCAACCTTCCTTTTGTGGTATCAAACCTTATGGTAAAATTTCATAGAGATCCATTCACTTGAACTAAAGTTATTGTGCGAAAACCAATGTGTCTTCGGACGAAGACGACGACGCCAACTTCATATCAATATACGACCGCAAAATTTTTTAATTTTTTGCGGTAGTATAAAAATGAAAGTGAAAAACTGATTGTTTGCGTGAATGTAGCTCTGCAAAATTAAAACAACTTAAGTTATTTTTTCTGAACAGAATATATATTGAACTTGATCTGTGAACTTGTCATAATGTATACATATCTAAATATTATTGTTTATAATAATATTGTTTGTTTGCTATATGCCCTTCTGGGGCCCTAATTTGGTGAATAAAAATATTCTATTCTATTCTATATATAAGGGCGAGGGTTTGGATTCCCCTAACATGTTTAACCCCGCCACATTCTGTATATATGTGCCGGTCCCAAGTCAGGAGCCTGTAATATTAATTCAGTGGTTGTCCTTTGTTGCTTTGTTACATATATATTTGTTTTTAGCGTTCATTTTTTATACATTAATTATGCCATTAGTTTTCTTGTTTGAATGTTTTACATTTGTGATTTTGGGGCCTTTTATAGCTGGGTTTGTGGTATGGGCTTTGCTCATTGTTGAAGGCCATACGCAACTATTATCAGCACCCGCTTTGCGCATGCGTCAAATTTGACCACAATCGATATCGATAAATTTACTATAGATTGTTAAAGGAAATCTTAAATTTTGATTAGCTGTCTGTAAATATCATTAAATTTCTTTTTCATTGGCATCAATTTTGAAAGTTCAATTTATAAGCTTTCTACAGATCTAATTTGTATTTTGATAAGGATTGCAGAAGTTAGGGCCTTTTTCAATTAAAGAACACCGGGTGCACGACCTATTACATTGTACTTCATACAATACGAAACCAAAAATGTGTGCACATGGGTTTTCTTTAATGAATTGACATAAAATCTTTATTAGAAACAGCTTCATTCGCATGTATATTTATTCTCTGGTTTTAAATCTATCCAACGATATAAATTTCATATTTTACAATTTTTTTTTGAATCAGGGCCTTTTTTATTCAAAAATCGAGATGCGATCATTTTTTGAAGTTGACCAGAAATAATCTAAGTCAAACCAGGTAAATATAATATTCATGGATAAATAATTAACACATGACAATGTGATAACTTCTGTTATTCTCAGTAGACATGAGTTGTTTGTGTTTTTTTTCTTTGACGGTTTAACAATGTTTAATAGCCTCTTTCTTTTCAAGTTTACTTTATAAATTGTAAATTTCAATGCACAAAAGTTTCAAATGAGAAAAAAAAAATATTCTCCAAGATAAACCAATTGCCAAAGTCTTAAAAGAATAAGACAAGGGCAGCATATGTGCCAGTGTGGACTATATACGAAAATATTTGTATGTAGTAATGCTAATTTAAAGATTACAAAACGACAATCGCTTAAAATTGAAATAAATTGAACTAAAATATTTTAACAGTTTAAGGAAGATGGGGTGTCTAAATTATAATCCATAGAATTTTTTTAATAATTTGCCAAAATGTAGTTTATATCATGCTTTTTAAAAAAAAATAATAAAAAGAATGGGACACGGGGCTTATTTTCACGCTACAGGTTGTGCAAAATTGACAGATTTTGTAATGATTATGCATGGAAAACCCAATTTTCTGCCATAAAACGAAAACTACACCATAGAATTTTGAGATAAAATATGTGAAGATAGCTCTACTAGTATGCTTTCAGATAAGAAAAATAAAAAATGGGGTCATGGGACCCGTTTTCTTGCTACATAATAAAATAGGTAAATTCCTAACACATTCTAGTGTAAAAGTAACTTTATCTGAATTATCTGCCCTTACATTTGAGTTGCCTCCCCTTATATGGCAAAGTTGGAAAAAATAGAATCAAACAAAAGTATTCTGTTTTTTTGTAAAATACAACCATAAATATGATAAAATAGGTCATTTTCTATATTGAAATGAAAATTCTTACACATGAATTACCTACTACTCTCAAAATTTGCACCTTTTATTAAAGATCTAGACCGATTGTTTTCTGGTATTTCAAAATTCAAGATGGAGGAAGACACCCTATCTACCTTAAGAAACAAAATTTTAGATACATACATGTACATGTGAATTTACTAGTCTATTGCTTGTTTGATGCACATTCTCCTTTTATACACTTAACTTTTAGAAAAATAAATCGCATTGAACAAAATAAATATTATTTTTAATTTGTCTCCGTCCTTTCAAAAGATTCTATCATGAAAAAAATTTTAATTTTGCAATTGAACATTTATGTAAAATATTTATTAAAAAGGAAACTTATTTTAATTATTTTTCTGTTAATGTAAAGTTTACGGAGAGCTGTCTCATTGGCACTCATACCACATCTTCTTACATTTACAAAATTTATAAAAAAAAAAAATGTATATTGTACATTTTTTGTACATGTATTTGCAGAATTTGAAATTTTTAATTTATCAAATGAATAAGATAATTGGAATCGTTAAAATTCAGAATTATACTTGAAAACAGATGCCTGCGACCCCTGTTGTTTCGATTAGCATGTTTTCTAAAGATATCCGTGTGAAGTTCACAAATTTCAACATGTATTTGGTCACCTGGTGTGAATTTCAGATAAAATTGTCAAGTTCAAATCTGTGGTTAAAACTTTCCTTTACATATCAGTTATATTATTATCTGGGCAGGGTACTCCCCCCCCTTTTTTTATATTATACTCTGAACATTATTGTATACACTTTTTCTGTGGGACTTTCTTTATGTAAAACAAGATAAAAATCTACGTTGTCTCATATTCGGATTTACGTCGAAAGAAAGGTTTAAGATATATCAAAATCGAACAACATCGTGTGAACATTTCTATTGATGACTATAGTGAATCATTTTTCGATTATGTATTTTGTTATTACATGAATTACATCTATCCATATTTTGATTGTCAACTCATTGCATACTTCTCTAAAAATGATGTTACTGAAATCAAGAATATTATATCTAATATAATATAACCTCACAATTACAACCCTCTTGCTTTTGAAATTGTTAAAGAACAATTTTAATTTTATGTAAGTGCTTTTATAAACTATAACAAGCCAACGATTTAATGATAGATATATATACATGTATATATGTTTGGTTATCATAATCTCGTATTTGTCCTTTTTCGACTTTTTATTTTGTATGTTTGATATTCGGTAAAATAGAATTTTATCTTTTGGAAATAAAGTCAGTTTATACAACTCGTATTCATGTGGAACCTAGCATGCTACAATGTCATATGGTTATAATATTGTTTACTTAGTGTTGTCAAATTATTAACGAGTGTCAACATTGTCTTTACAAACTCAGCATGTTGTCTTGATAAGATATCACACACAGAAAAGACTGATCAGACGGATAAGAAATTAAAATCATGCGCGATAACTTGTACTGGCTTACACTGAGGATAATAGTTGGCCATGCTGTACAGTGACCTGTAGCATTCTCATTGGCAATCATTCCACATCTTCTTTTTTATACTGTATCGTTTTGTTGTCATTATTGATTTATACCATTTGTAGTTTTCTGTAATCTAAATATGCTGGAATAAAAAAAATTGACACAATTCAAGTCAATTGTGTTGCTTCTGATATGACGTTAAATCTAATGTCAAAGTGAGGTACAGCCACGTGACCAGTATTAGAGTGTACATTTTGTACAACAGATTAGGTACATTGTATTTGATCTGGCTTTCAGTTACTGCTAGCAAGTCCGGAAACTTGTCAGTGATTGTCTTGTGTCATGTATGTGATAACTGCAAGTCAGCCAAGTGTTTGTTATCTATATAACTTTTGAGTTAATCATAGATAAGATAGTAATACGTATGATTTGAATCATACACAAATAAAAAAAGAAGTGACAAATTTATACTGTATAAGACTCAGTCAGAATTTGACATATCCATCTCCATTATTCATAAATATTTTTTGATCTGCCATTATCTGGGAAGTTGCGACACTTAAAGAATTCGATATGAGAAACTAATTCATGAATGCGTCTTAAAAGATTTAAGTATCCATATGAACATTGAAAAATTATAAGGCAGATTCCATATAAGAAAGTGAAACAACTCCCATAAGCATGTTAGGCAAAAATCATAAGCAATGAACTTCTGTTTTTGAATACATGCTTTACTAATAAAGATAAAGACAATTTGACCCAAAAAAAAAATATGAGCATCATCCTTTTTAAATAAACGAAGCCTTAAATATTATGTTTCTGACATAAGATTTGACAGACTTTATTGTTTCTGACATAAGATTTGACAGACTTTAGTGTTTCTGACATAAGATTTGACAGACTTTATTTTTTCTAACATAAGATTTGACAGACTTTATTATTTCTGACATAAGATTTGACAGACTTTTTTTTTTTTCTGACATAAGATTTGACAGACTTTATTATTTCTGACATAAGATTTGACAGACAAATTGAGTTTCTGACATAAGATTTTGACAGACTTTATTCTGACATAAGATTTTTCATACATAAGATATTTTGACAGACAATATATATTTGTTTTTTTTGACTGACATTGGAAATCAAATCCTAGTTGAAAGTCATTTTTAAAACTCCTGGAAAATACTGCAGCCTAACATCTAACAAGATTTCACTACAGGTCAAAGAACTTTAACTGTTAGCACATTCAAATTTTTCAGACATAAGAAAACAAGTTTGACAGATCTTATGTAGGAAACATATAAGTTAAATCTATTGCTTGAATAAAGTTAAATGAAAGAATCAACATGTGTTTTTTCTTATGCACAGCGTGACTTACAGTTTTAACTGGCATATATTGGAACCTAAAATGATTTTGAAAGTTTTTACAGCGATGTTCCTGACATAAGATTTATTGACAGACACTGAGCTATAAAGCAAGATATTTGAAAGTGAAAAAAAATATATATCACAGATGTTTTTGACTAAAAAAAGTAACAAATTTGGGAACAGGGATGTTTGAATAACCAGACTACACTAGTAAATACCAGTATACAAGTGTCAACATAAAGCATAGCAACACATAAACATTGTGTAAAAAAATGGGAGTTAATTCTGTCAAAATTTTTGCATTTTGTCAACTTGTTTTAATCATTTCTACTTTAAACGGAAACAATCATATCCAAAAATTATTTTTATAATTTCTTCTAACATCATTATTCCTCAAAACATTCACAGATTATCTTTAAAATAACAGTAACTATTATTTTTATTTATTTATTCATTTTGACAGACATTTCAATTTCTTATATGGAATCTGCCATAAGCAGGTAATGAACTAATAAGTTGGTAGTTTAACTTTAGTTTGTTCAAATTGTTAAAAAAAATCGATAGCTTAAGACCCCTTGACTTCGTGAATAACATAATGCAAGCTACGTTACTGTATACAAATAATAAAATAACTTACAATTCAACTGGAATTTGAAATTAGATGCGTTAGGTCCTATGGGGCGAACGTGTATAAAAATTATTTGGGAGCGAACGAAAACGATACCAAAATTGAAGATGAAAACCATTCTCATTCAGTCATTGCAGATTTCTGTTTATTCCTGCACTATTAAATCATTTGTTTGAGTTACCTGTAGTACATCCTCGAGTATTCATTGATTCATAGCTCCTTGGTATTGTTTGTCTTGTTAAATTAACTGAAACAAGTACTGTTGTTGACAATCGGCTGACGGCGTTCTTCTCTTTAAGATGCGTCATAATCTGTATCTTTCAAGCGTTTTAAAAAAAACCCGACTCCGGACGAGAGATTCACGGATATTGTCCTGATCTGATGTTCAAAGTATTTCTCCATGTGAAAAGTGAAAAATAGGTACCTGCTAGTTCCCCCATTCCTACTATACAAATCCTTGGAACATATAACAAATTATTTTGTTAATAAGCATCCTTTACATAGGAGCACCTCCACATGGAGCTGTTAGTTAATTAAACCCTTACAACTATTTAATATATATATTTATAAAATCTGGGACTATTATACTAACTTAGTATAATAGTCCCAGATAAAATATAATAAATATAATTTCAATTATGACTGTGATTTCATTGTGTAAAAGAATATATATATATATCTATACAAAAGTAAAATGTTTAACCTTAATTCAATGAGCAAGCCTTGTCTAATTGGCAATCATTTACCACACATTTATTAAAGCTTAAAGAATGTAAGTTTTTTTTAATAATAAAGTGTAAATGTAACCAAGGAATTGTATATTTAAATATACAATTCCTTGATGTAACCATTCATTTTTTCTGAATAAAAACATTAATCTAAGAATACAGGGACGTAAAATTGTTTTGTAATTTTAAAATGTGTCCCAGTGCAACAATTGATCATGCAATCTTTCAATTTCAAAGATTATAAACAAAATTTGCTTCTTGTATAGATGTCATGTTATAAAAAGCAATACAAAAAATTTTATACTGCACTTTCAATATACTTAAAAAATTGATAAACATTCAAATTTACATTTATTGACAAAATTTAGTACATATAAAATTCTTTTCTGTATTCTTACTAGTTTTTATTCATATATGTCCTAATGTTAAACTTATGTGCGATTCAATGCTCACAAATTTTCTTGACTTATAAGTTTGAGGAAAAGTTTTATGCACAGTAAAAAAGGGAGATAACTCATGTTTGGAAGTTAATGATATATATATGATATATATTATCCTTTTTTTCTTTGCAATAATGGGAAGTAAAGAATCTATTACAGTAACAGTAATCTATTTCATAAGTTGGAGTTACCTCCCACATTTTTTAAAAGTATAAAAGTAAAGAAGACATAAGATGTGTGAAAGTAATTAAATTTACTACTTAATAATTATAGAAATATTACTAGTAAATCAAATTGTCCATCAATATAATATAGGCATCTAGGAATTTGAAATAAGAGATACACATGTATACAAAATTCCATCCTAATGACTCTACTAGAGATAAATATAAACAGTGATAGAAAATATAATTCAAAACCAACATGTTTTTGTAGTTGCATCTAACCCACTATCAAGGGAGATAATTCATGCTTAACAAAAAGATAAATATTTATCATTTACAATGATTGTATGTCCAAATGTGTAAATCTTGAGAGACAAAGAATAACAGTTTTTAAAATGATTCAATTTTGCAAAAAGAAAATTGGAATGAATAATAGCAAAATTCAGGTGAATTTGTTTCTCATGTTACAAAAATTTAACTCAATAAAGTTAAATTTCTCTTATGAATTCATGGTTTAATTCAGATAAAATGAAACATAACATTTTCACATGAGTTTTGATTCATGTTAATTTCATGTGAAATTGTTCACGTGAATTTAACGTGAAATTTTTCATGTGAATATATCATGAAATATTCACATGAATTTAACGTGAAATATTCACGTGAATTTCACGTGAAATACTCACGTGAAATACTCACATGAATTTCACGTGAAAATAGAATTTTTCAAATTAAATTAAGATTTCCATGGAATATATGATACATATAATACAAGATATTAGAGGTTGACAAAATGTTTGATTTTCGGTTATTTTTTTTTAACTTAGACACCATTTATATTTTTTCACGTGAAATTCACATGAAATGGTTTACGTGAAATTCACGTGAAATAATTTCACGTGAAAATTTAACGTGAATTTCACGTGAAATCACTTCACGTGAAATTAACGTGAAATTCATGTGAAATTCATGTGAAATTCATGTGAAATTCACGTGAAATGAGATTCACGTGAAATTCACGTGAGCAAAATTTGGCTGTGTATGACTGCAAACAGATGATAATGGTTCAGTGTGATAAGATTAAAAATATATTGAACAAATTTTAACCACTCATAATTAAAAGTTGTTTTTCATTTAACAAAATGCAAATGAAAATGAAAACCTGTTCTACATAAGGTGTAGGGGCTGCTTACCCTTCCGGAGCACCTGAGATCACCCCCAGTTTTTGGTAAGGTTCGTGTTGCTGTCATTAGTTTTCTATGTTGTGTTTTGTATACTGTTGTTTGACTGTTTGTCTTTTTCTTGTTTAGCCATGGCGTTGTCCGTTTATTTTCGACTTATGAGTTTAAATGTCCCTTTGGTATCCTTGCCTCTCCTTTCATATTTTTATTTAAATTTATTATCACCTCAATTGATTTGTTTTTTTGTTTTAAACAACGAGTGAATTCATGCTGTGGGTCTTAAACCATTCACAAACAATCATATACAGATGACACCACAAAAACATTCGTTAAAGATGCCGGATATACTTGTAGTCAGTGCTAATCAGTCTTGATGTATGACGTTGTGATTTTTGCCAAAACTTAAACTTTTATGGGCGCAACCTTAGGGTTAGTTGACATCCGCAAGTTGTTGGCTACTTTATCGGATTGAATGTTTGATTTTGCTTTACATGATAAGAGAATCATTGCACTGTATAATTATTTTATCGCCTACATTTTTTTTTCAGGTTCCGGTTACATTTATTCTCCTATTTCATGTCGTTCAATCAACAGATCAAATGTAGAAACTTAATAAGCCACAACTGACTAAAATTTATCTTTAATCAGATAAAGAACTGGTTCCTTGTCATTTTTTACCTTTACTTAACTTAATGTCTTTTTGGTCGTATCAGCAATTTGTGAATACGTTTTGGATTTTCGAATATTTTTGCCTCAAGCATCATTATTGTAATGTTCATCCGGGGCAGTAAAATTGGTACCATTAATAATGTTTCGATTATATTATTAAGTCTGCAATATGATTGAATGACGCCGCACATACGTTTATGGTTACCTCGTCAAAGCAACAGACAGCATTTAAAATATGACTGCAGCCGCCAGTGCTATGGGCTCCACCACATCTTTCAAGCTTGTCACAGTTTCCTCCACCTAGTGAACATTCAGATATGTATCCTGAAATATTTTAAACAGATATGAAAATATCAAGGAAACAATAAAAAATCACATTTCAAACAAGGACATACAACACCATTGCCAAACAATCAGGTGAAAAGACAATCAGTAGTTAACCAAAAATCTCACAGAAAAGTACAGAATGAGCATCTAAATTCCATTTTGAGCCGAAGGTAAGCCGAGGTCCCGGGGTAGTTTTAGTCAATCTATTTCACTGCACAAATACTTTATTTGTTAAATGGCAAGCAAAAGTGAAAATCCAACAATAGAAATACTATTTGTTGATAAGTTGTGTGTGCATACATTGAGTTTTCTTTTATATAAATAAATGGTATACGTAAATAAGACAACACCCAGAGACAAACATCCTAAAGTGTAGCATAAAGTTTGCAACAATATTCTTAGTTCTTATAATAGTTGGATTATAAATATTTATAAATTCAGATCTACCTTTATCATATATCGTCTACTGTTGCCTATTAATTATAATACAACGGTACTATTTATTAAATCATTAGAAATCAGTATCATCCTTTATGTACTTCTTAAAAAAAAGCCCAACTATTTTAAAAGTATATGCATTTACAGTAAAAGAGAGGCGAAAGATACCAGAGGGACATTCAAACTCATAAGTCGAAAACAAACTGACAACGCCATGGCTAAAAAAGAAAAAGAGCGACAAACAGTAGTACACAAAACTATACATAGACACACATAGAAAACTAAAGACTGAGCAACACGAACCCCACCAAAACCCGGGGGTGATCGCAGGTGATCCGGACTGGTAGGCAGATCCTGATCCACATGATGCACCCGTCGTGTTGCTCATGTAAGTACAAACCTGGTAATAAGTCAAATTCGGTAGGTCATATTCGAGTAAAAGGGACGGGATTGTAGTTACGACATTAGGAACATATCCGCTATCATCTAAGAAACGGATATTCCATAACGGTCAAACAACTCGTGATGACGTCCGTAAAACTTTCGAAGGGATGATTTCAACTTCACCACTTGGAACTCTTAGTTTAATTACCTCCTTGTGAGCAGCAACCCTCTTTCGAGGAAATCATGATAGGAAATACAAGCCTGGGAATATCGTATCAATTGGGAGATATATACTCCGTACGCAGGCGCTGCTGGAATGTTGCTACATAGAAATGGAAAGTTCACAATGGGGAAATCATCTCTTTTGTCGTAAAGTTTTGTTTTCAACCGACCTTCATTGTCAATTTCTAGATGTAAGTCAAGATATGTGGCAGACTTAACTGTATCGATTGTATCCTTTATCTCAAGTTCGATGGGATAGATGCATTCAACAGAGTCACCAAATTTTAAATTATTTAGTGAGAGAATCATCTATATAGCGGAAAGTAAAGTTAAAGGATACTGCTAACTTCTTTTCTTTCTTCTTAAGAAGTTCCTGTATGAGGTCAGCCTCATATGAATAAAAGAACAAGCCGGCAAGAATAGGGACACAGTTTGTTCCACTGGGAATGCCAATTGTTTGTTGAAAAACACGTCCTCCAAAAGTAACAAATATGTTGTCGATCAAGAAATCAAGCATCTTGATATTGTCAGTTTTGGAGAATTTTTTGCTCCAATCAGAGTGATTTTTTTACAAATTAGGAATTATCCCTCCCTAAGACAAGATATTTGTATCTACGTTGGCCATTCTTTTTTAATAAACAAATCAGGACAAACTCTTTCAATTTGTCTTTTAGTTTGGAATGGGGAATACTTGTGTAAAGTGTTGGACAAAACAAATCAGATTTTTTTTATATCGTTTTTAAATATTTTGTATAAAAGAACATTCAA